AGGATTGTATTGAACTGTCTACTAGCATGGCAGGCTAAGTTTTTCCTGCTGTGATACTGGACCCCAGCTGTTGCTGAGCGGAGCTGTTAGTAACACTCAGATTTTGGATCTCAGTTGACCTTGGCTCGGCTGACCTTGAGAAAAAAGCCCCTTCCAGAGGCCTCCAGATGTCACTGCCATTGATCACTCTTGTAACTCACAGGCTTCAAACGACCACCCTACTCCAACTCTGAAGCTTCTAAAAATCGAAAAATTGTGTCACACAAAAAAAGCATGAATAATTACCAGTATACAATGTGGATATTCTGGATAAGAATTCCTTTGATTTGTCAAATAGCCGACCCTTCCAAAATTGTTTTACCAACACAGTAAGATGCATGTTCATGTTATAGGTGGTTTATCAGCAGGGGGGCTGTTCTCTGTCAACTATAAACGCGCAGCTTTCTCTGCCCTACCCATATTCATGATGTGCTATTTATCTTACTTTTTGTTTATCCTTTTAGGTTTGTATAGGTTTTGTCTTCACCGATCTGCCCCTTCTTCACCTCTCAACATGTTTTAAAAGCATGGACCCCCCCATCCCCCACCCACATGCACTTCTTGCCACAAAAAGCGCCATGATCTAAACAGCATAAGCTAATGGCTGTTTAAGGCCATTAAGTCTGAAAAGATAAACGCTGGTGCCTGTGAAAGGGCAGCTGTATCACTGTGATGATGTGCAGGTATGCTGTTGTGTCCACTCCATCATACACAATGTCTTTTCTGTGGGAGCTGCTTTCAGGGATCGGAGACAGGCGGAGATGGGACCTGTGAAGCATTTATGAGGAGAGCACAGAGAGGATCCATGAAGCAAACTTCGGAAGCTTGACTTCATTTTTATGATTTCTTCAAGTGGATGCCTTCATCCCACACCACAGCTTAAGCCAAATAACATAGATTTTGGAAAACAGCAGATGCTTGAGAGAAAAAAAGGTGTATTAATCGATTCCATATATTGTATTTTTGTTATAATTAGAGTAAAATTATTCAAGTTAGTGTATAGTCCATAGTAATTTATACTTTCTTTTCCAAATCTGCAACTGAGCTTTTAATAACACATAGATCTGTCACACAGGTCTGTCTATAAAGTATGTTTATAGTAAAATTTAACTGAAATAAACAATACTAATAACAAATATAGACCACATTTGTATAACAAACGGTAGACGACTGAAGATACTGCAGAAATGACAGACTAGCAAACCAGAGATGTAATGACCTAATCTCACCACAATGGCTAAATCATCCTGAAACTCAGATTTCTCTTGGCCTGACGTAACATATAGTTACTTCTCTGACACATCCATAAAGCACTTGCCCACCCACTAACACACAACGCTCTGAGAACAAGTCTCATCTTGAAGTAGAGGAGGAAGTGTCTGAGATAGGGGGGTTAGAGCTGCTCTACACGCTGCAGCCCCTGAACGCTGTCAGTTATCTGTGCTGACAGATTGGCTCAACAAGAACAACCATCGCAAGGCTTGGAGTAGAGAGCAATTATGATAATTGAGGTAAAAATGGATTTGCACCTGACCTGATCGACCCCTGTCTGACCTATTCTGGTCCTGTTCATATAGAGGGCTGATTCTACAGAGCACTGACCTGTTAAGACATGACCCTTCTGCTGGCCCTCCACTCCACCCAAGACGACACACACTCAGGGAAGGCTCTCATGAGTCACAGAGCCTTTGTTCTGAAAAAGTTTCATTGAGAGTTACTCTTGTAAGTGTTCCAATTGTTCCCAGTTTCACCTGTATTTAAAATAAGTTGTCATGTTACTTGCTTTTGTTAGATCTCCTAATAAGATCTAACTGTCTTTAACCTGGTTTTAAACATTGTCAGAGAGGAGGCCTGTCTCACATCTTCAGGGAGATTATTCCAGATTTTAGCAGCATGAATCTGAAAAGCAGCCTCCCCATGTTTAGTTCTGACTCTGGACACTAACAGGAGTCCAGTCCCTGTGCTCCTCAGAGTCCGGGCTGGTTCATATGGTACTAACCTGTCACTAATATATTTTGGTGCGAGGCCATGGAGAGACTTGTACACAAGCAGAGCTGTTTTAAAGTCTATTCTCTGAGCCACAGGAAGCCAGTGTAGAGACCTGAGAACCGGACTAATGTGGTCGTACTTCCTGGTTCTAGTCAGGACTCGAGCTGCTGCATTTTGAATATACTGCAGCTGTTTTACAGCCTGTTTGGACAGACCTGTGAGCAGGCCATTGCAGTAGTCTAACCTACTGGAGACAAATGCATGGATAAGAATCTCCAAGTCTGCTTTAGACACTATGTTTTTGATCCTGGCAATGTGTTTTAGATGGTAAAAAGCTGCTGATGTTACTGATTTAATGTGGCTATTAAAATGTAAGTCTGAGTCCAGTATTACCCTTAGATTTCTGACCTTGTTTAAGGGTTTTAGGGAGAGAGACTGGAGGTGACAGATGACGCTCTCTCTTTGTTTCTGGGGACCAAAGACAATCATTTCAGTTTTGTCTGCGTTTAGCTGAAGGAAGTTGTTTTGCATCCACTCACTGATCTGTTGGATACAGTGAAGGAGTGAGTCCACTGGTCCATGTTCTCCTGCAGTCAGTGAGACATAGATCTGAGTGTCGTCTGCATAGTTGTGATAGGACACTTAGTTTCTGCGTATTAACTGACCTAACGGCAGCATGTAGAGATTGAACAGAAGAGGTCCCAGGATCGACCCCTGTGGTACTCCACAGGTCAGGGCCATTTGATCTGAGACATAATTTCCAATCTCCACAAAGTACTTCCTGTCTTCAAGGTAAGACCTAAACCAACTTAGGGCGGTGGCAGCGACGCCAACCCAGTCCTCTAGTCTCTGTAAGAGGATCTCATGGTCGACAGTGTCAAAGGCAGCACTCAGATCTAACAGGATTAGGATTGAGACTTTGCCTGCGTCAGTGTTCAGCAGAACATCGTTTGTGACCTTGACGAGAGCAGTCTCAGTGCTGTGGTGGGGTCTAAAGCCGGACTGAAACATATCAAATGAGTTGTTGATTATAAGAAATCTAGTAAGCTGTAGGTAGACAACTTTTTCAAGGACTTTCCCCATAAATGGCAGATTTCAGATGGGATGATAGTACAGTGGCATCCAGACTGCTCTTTTTTAGCAGGGGCCTGGTGACTGCCGTTTTCAGGGCCTTTGGGAAAATTCCAGAATGAAGGGACATGTTTACTATCTGTGTTAGTGAAGGTAATAGACTGCTCAGAACAGACTTCAGAAATCTAGTGGGTTGTGCATCCAGGCTGCATGTGGAGGAGCTCAAACTGGAGATTATCTCTTGGACATTTTTATCATCTACAGGTGCAAAGGGAGTTAGCTCAAAGAGCCTTTCTGGCTGTTGGATTGTTATCTGTGGATTGGAGACAATGGCGTTTTTGATGCCTTGAACCTTGTCATTGAAAAAGTGTGCAAACATGTATGTCTTCCATTTTCTAATTATTGTTCCCATGGTTGATTTCTTCACACCAAGCTGCTTACTTATTACAGATCCAGTCTTCCCAGCCTGGTGCAGATCTACAATTGTGTTTCTAGTGTCCTTTGACAGCTCTTTGGTCTTGGCCATAGGGGAGTTTGGAGTGTGACTGTTTGAGGTTGTAGACAGGTGTCTTTTATACTAATTATGGTGCCATTACTACAGGTAACAAGTGGAGGACAGAGGAGCCTCTTAAAGGAGTTACAGGTCTGTGAGAGCTGATTTTAAAAATCTGCGTGATTTTTTTCTCATTCTGTCTCTCCTAGTTGAGGTATCCATATGATGAAAATTACAGGCCTCCCTCATCTTTTTAAGTGGGAGAACTTGCAATACTAAATGTATATATTGGCGTCCATGTGAAAAACACTAGTATTTTAAAAATTCACTCCATACCCAGCTGTTTTTTCCTCCTATCCAGTTTCAAAGGTAGAATTTGCCAATTTAATTCCATTAGTTGTTTCAATTTCAAAGTGGATGTTGATTATTATTTAACTGTCAATGGGAATTATTTGGCTTTGCATTTTATCTTTGAGACTTTGAGGCACTCCTTTTTTACTTAAGTTACGATATTCTGTCATGTAGCATTCCTCCAGATCAGCTAATGAATCCTGAATCAATTCAGCATCGCTGTGTAGACATAGTGACAGGATAGAAAGATGCAGCCAGAGGCGGGCTGGGACATGCGTGTAGTTCTTGGAGGGCTCAATGAGTGAAAACTGAGGAAGGGGAGCTGTGGAGAGACCAGACCAGTTACTGTCATTTTAGGGAGCTGACTGTCAAGAGATAGAGATCTGAGGCCAAAGCCCCTTGCAGACATTTCACTCATATCTCCAGAATCAGTGCTCAGCTAATTTAAACCAGATGTGAACAGTTTTGGGACCCCATCATCAACCTGGCAAAGGCAGGTCTCCGCCTGCACTCTCTGGGTGGGGTCAGCGGTGCAAAGGGGACAGCTTAACTGGTCTCACTGCTATTTGTTGGAATCATAATAAAGTACTGGATGCTGGAGGGTAGAGGTCTCGGATACAACTGTTCAAATGGAGCTTCAGTTGACAATCCCAGCCGTTTTGTGTATGTTTTTGCAGGACTGGTCAGTGTCAGTCCAAAGCACGACTGCAGGGCCTGGAAGCGCTTCTGCTTATCTGATAGATCCACTAAGGGAACAGTTGATTGCCTTCAAGGAATGGGAAATGCCTCCTTTGCTTTCTCCCTCTCTGTGTATTCTCTCTCTTTTCCCGTAGTTGTTTCCTGAGCACTACCTTCTTCTCTCCTTCTCCCTCCTCCCTCTCTGTGTCTGCCCTGCTGTGAGGAGGTGGTTCCTCGCTGTACTTGATTGAGTCTATATAGGAGGACAGACACTCTAACAGCCTCAGAGTCTAGTGGTGCCCACTTGCCACACGTTTCCAGTAGGAATACTATTTTTAATCACATTTTGTTCCTCGGAGGATATATTTTATCTGACAGCATGACAGAAAGCAAGAGGAAAGAGAGGAAAGGAAAGAAGAAGGGAGCAAAGAAGGGGCAAAGGGACAAAGATGGTGATCCAACAGCAGGTAAACTTTAATCTGTCACTATGTTTTATATGGTTACAATTGGTAAGTGATGGTGAATGTTATTTCTATAAAGGTGAGGAGAAAGGGTCATTTTAAGCATGTTACGGAAGTGTGGAACTAAGTATCCCCTCGGCTTGTCAATGCTTGCCGCTAGGTTGTCACATGGATTGGTTTCCTGATGTAGACAGCATGTAGAGGCACATCTGCTTTTGGCAACACAGCTTAAGAAGTCACACAATAATAACAATAATTTGTGTTCACAATCTCCAAGACTAACTGCAAAGTTTAATGAGCAACAAGGCTACAGAGCTGTGCAAGAGTTTTACAAGATTTTGGGGGTGTGTGATTCTTCATCTTTTTGTAAACTGTCCTAAATAACCACTTTGTTATTATCTATTGGTCAAGAGTATCATGCCTATGAACCTTTTTTATTGAAATATTTAAAGTGTGGATATCTCTTGAGGCATTTAGGACATGAGCAGCTCTTGCTCCTCAATCCTGAGCAGTGTAATGTGCTAGCTCATTGTTGGTTTCTACATGCTGCAGCGTGTCACTGTAGTTTGACCTGAGGTCATGGGGAAGCCCTGCCCCCACTTCAATTTAGGGACAGTTGTAGTATTATCACCACATGGATCTATTGTTGTAATGAAGAAATAAACCTAGGCTAAACTCTGTATTGTGGGAGCCATTTTGTAGTTTGAATATTTACCATCAACATTCTTTGTGATTTATTGTTCATCATTAATGAACACTTCATTGTTTTAATAATAATTACTATGAAAAGACGTTCTGTGAATTAGTTGCTTAAAATGTATCAATTCATATCAGTGAATAGTCAATCCTTCATTGTCTTATTAAAGTTGAGGTAACAATCCCCAAATATCTGACCAGCTCAATATACATTTAAGATATACATTTTAAGAGAATGTGACAAAAAGGGACATCATTACACATATTTTTTTCTGTGGGGGTGTTCTTTCTTCGAAAAGGTTCTTGTAAAGTAGGTCAAAATGAAGACACGCACATGTGTGATCCCTGTCATGGTTACACTAAGGCCGAATCGTAGCTCGTAAGAGGAACCTTAAGGCTATAATGAGCACCATTACCACTATAAGACTTTCAGACTCACAATCAGCACAGATGTAGTCATGTTACCAGCTACTTATGATCTACACATGTTATTGAGAACATTATATTCAGATATTTTTAGTGTCATCTCAAAATTGTGCTGAATCAGTACTGAATCAAAGTTTTGCACTGGAAGAATATTTGTAGCTTAAATAACATTTAATGAATAAAATGTTATGTATGATCTGTGTATGTTGAACTTTTAAAAGAATGACATGGAATAACTCTCAAACAACATTTTGCGGATACTTTGCTCAAGCGGTTACATAACTTGTGTTTATAGTCTTAAAATACTAATAATCATATTAAGCTTTTGCCATGGGACAAAAAGATAATACGTTTTCATTGAATTGGATACTAAATGAGAGGTAAATTCCCAATTTTTACCATTTTGATGGTGGTTCACACACGTGATATTCACTAATACAATATCTTTGTTAACAAGAGACATCAGGACTAGATAAAGCCTATATCGAAACAATTTTTCTCTAAATAAGGACAAACTCAGGATGTAACTATGCGTATACCAGATCTAAATCATGCAAGCTTAAAGGAACTGTTTGCATTTTGTTGAATGACACATGAACCAGCGTCTTAAGCTGCAGACCCAGGACACATGTTTATATATTGACCAGACACACTATATTTCTCCAAAGTAACTGGCAACCCAAATGAGAGACATAATGCTAAACTGTGATGGTCATCATGCACATTGTTTTTAACTTCCCACTAGATTATATTATATGATTTGTACATGTTTACATTTGTGTCTGGGGAGGAGTGACCTAAAATAAATGTAGTTCAAAGTAAACCTCTAAGCGTCCTTTATCTACTTCTTTTATCTGCCATTTATGTTTATTTTCTGTCTCTACCTATGGGAGAGGTGTACATTCTTATACCCACACTACTTTGAATACGCCTTCATTGTCACTTTTCTGATCATAACCTAAATAGTTTTAATCTGAAACTTCTAGTTTTGTGAATTCTATAACAATCCAGCTTCCAGACATACAGTAAATTTGTAATTTTTAATGTATCCAAATGTATATTTGGATTCATTAACTCGTGAAGGCACCAGTTATTTAGAGAATAGTCTCTACCGCATGTTTGTTTTCAGTACATTTACATTGTTAAACCAAGTGGAAGGACTTTTAAGTTTATGAAATTCCTGAAACGGATTATAAATGTTATTGCTTGCCATTCCGTCATTTAGTACAGCGCTGATAAACCATAGCAAAGATTCACAATGTTCTATTAATTTGTAGAATATGCCCCCTCTTGTACATGTTTGCAGTGGTAGAGGAAAACACAGCACCCGGAGGAAACATGCACAGACTCAGGGAGAACATGCAAACTCCATACAGAAAGCTACCCACTGGCGCCTGTATTAGAACATGTTCTTTCTCTTCACAATCTGAAAAGTAACTGACATTCAAGTTAATTAGCCCCCCCTTGGTAAGCTGGAAAGTTGGAACTGTTCTCAATTCCCATAGGACCAGCCCCTCACTGATCCTCCTGCAAGTGGTGGGTCCACAGGAGTCTTGATCTTTCAGCAGGGGCATCGGGCAAAGTGGGGTTAAGTGTCTTGCCCAAAGACACTACGATAGCAGACATCAGTGGGAGTCATGAAGTAGGTCTTGTGGTGGGCTCGAACCTACAACCTTCAGGCCCAAAAGCCAATGCTCTACCAACTGTCGCCCCCTATTGTTCACTACTGCTAATAATTACATTACAGGCAGAAGTGTTGTTCTAGATTAAAACACATTGGTATATTCTGGTCACCTGCTGCTGCTGGTTGCAGAGTGTTGGGGTAAAATCAAAGGGGTCTGGGTATTTATAGTATTTAAGTTTGAATGATGGTAACGATAATTCTCTGACGGCGGAGACATTAACTCTGCACCATTACTCTGGTCTTTTCATTTCCTGTTTTTCATCAGATTGTCTGATCTGTCACTTCGAGCCTTTGAAGTGAAGCTTTTGTCCACGAGAATAAGGTGTGAGCATTGGGTCTGTGCAAGTGCTACTAGTGTGAGTGACGCGAGGACCTTCGTACCTCCGCACCACGCTGCTGCTGTGATGCGTCTGTTGCTTGTCATAGAGTTCTTGGAGTTAGAATTAGTCAGTGGTGATTAAAGGAGCTCTCTGTGCATCACATACAAAGGACAAGCCCCATTAGATTGTTACATTCAAGCATTTTGAAAAAGATTTTACTCATTTTTTCTTATTGATGATATCAAGGGATAGGGATAGTACTTTGTTTTTTACAACCCTATAAAAAAATGGGTCAAATCTCCTTCAATGTGCTCAGAAATCACCTTTTCAAGTGCTGTACGTTTGTTTCAGTATTGTCACCATACTGCATTTCAAACTCTATTTCGAAACACAGCTTTTATTTTTAAATGCCTATTGATCAATAAATAGTATTGATAGTAATAATAATACTAATACTAATAATAATAACAATAATAATAGTAATACTATAATAAATAGTTTTTTGTTTTAAATATCTATAATTTAATAAGTTATTCTGGTCTAGTTTGTAAGAAATGTAACATTTTGTCTTGAAATAATTATTTTCAGTTTGGGTATTTACAGAAATAAGTGTCTAGTTTGATACTAGCTTTAGTATTTGATACTTTTCAATTATTTTTGACAACCCCATATGTTCAGTTAGTTGAGTGAAAATTTTGTTTTCATTAAAAACAAAATCTTTTGGAAAGTTATGCAAATGTCAGTTATTCAAATAACCTCAGAGGGTGTAACTTGGTCATTTTGCCGATCTGTAATCATCTTCCTGAAAAGCCATCTTCTGGACTGTGTAACATACAAAGTTAATTAGTTAATCTGAAAAGTTTTGAATTAAATTTAATTAAATTACTGAAACTCTCCGGAAAGTGGCTACTGTATGTTATGTGAGAGAAAGAAAGTCATTTTACACACTTTTGACCAGGTTTTTTTTCCCTTAACAGGCCAGTAATGTAATTGGCACAACGTTTGTGCCCTTCACAAATCAGACCCTCTAAATTGATAGGCTCACTGTGCACCACTAACATAAGACACTAGGGAACAGGTTATCAACAGCTGATGGAGCGCTGATAAAGCCAAACAAATATGAGCCATGTCCGAATATCCACTTTCGTTCTCAAGGCACTATTCTCAAGTAAAACTCTGTAAACTCTGTTTTTACAGTGAACCTTCACTACTATAACTTCAGTTAAACTATGTTCATAAATTAATGTTTGGCAGTTGTATTTGTTCAATAAATTGGACAGTTTATGAAACTCGTGATACATGCTGCTGCAGGTGGGGACTATCTTGAGGTGCAGAAATACATCAAGAATTTAGGAAAGGCATTACATTCTCAAATTACAGATACAAAATATGTTATTTGGGACATTTTGTTCATAGTAGCCTTTGTGAATGTCATCTAGTTTCATTTTCATAGGGACTAGAGGCAACACCAGTCTCTGAATGTGAGCGCAGCTTTAAACTGTTCCTAATGTGATACTTGATGTTTCCTTTCAGCTCATGTGTTTTTCCAGCATTTTCTTTATTTTTTTTACATTTGCCGTTTGTTTAATAGTGTTGGCTGCATTTTGTGAAATACTGTCAAACATAAGGGGTAATGTTTTGATTGTGTCGCTTCATTACTTAAGTATCACAGTGATGTATGTAACAACTCTTGGTTAATGGGTGTGTCAAAAAGTAATTGTATGTAATTTTGCCCACGAGCATTAAGCTGTGGTTCGTTAGGCGCCTTGTGTCAGTCAACCATCACTGCCACCCCCACAAACAGGCACCATGAAGGATGATGCTGCTTTCTCACTGAGCACCAACTACTACACATTCATTCAACATTGTCATTTATAGTA